GCTAAACCATTAACCAGACTTACCGAAGGCGAGAGGCGTTTCTGTTGGGACTCAGATTCTGACGAGGCATTCCGAACACTGAAGAAGACCCTGACTAGTGCGCCCATACTTAGCTACCCCCTTGGCAACGGAAACTTTATATTGGATACCGACGCTAGCAATGTTGAGTTAGGCGCTGTTCTGTCTCAGATCCAGGATGGTCAAGAGAAAGTCATTGGTTATTTTAGTAAGACCTTGTCAAAACCGGAAAGGAACTACAGTGTAACCAGACGAGAATTACTAGCCGTAGTTAAAGCAGTGGAACATTTCTACAAGTATCTCTATGGAAGAAAGTTCTTGTTAAGAACAGACCATGCTGCTTTGAAATGGCTGTTGCAGTTTAAGAATCCTGAAGGGCAGGTAGCTAGATGGAATGAACGATTACAAGAATTTGACTTCGACACAACATCGAGCTGGGGCAATCCATCGAAATGCCGACGCACTTTCCAGAAGACCTTGCGCTAAGGACTGTAAGCATTGTTCCCGAGCAGAAGAGAAAGAAGTGAAACTCCTAAGAACAACTGTGGTTAATGATAGTTGGCAACCCGAAGATCTTGCAAATGACCAAACCAGTGACCCAGAATTAGGTTTAGTAATTAACTGGAAAAACGCAGGCCAAAGACCAACGTGGGAAGAAGTTTGCAGATATTCGCCGAACGTAAAGTCGTACTGGGCTCAGTGGAATTCCTTGGTAATAGATAACGGACTACTTCGCCGTGTGATCGAGAGACCGGAGGGACAAGAAGAGAGAAGGCAGATCGTCATTCCAAAGAAGAGGGTCCCAGAAGTCTTGGAGGAAGTTCACAATGGAACCAGCGCGCAGCGGTGGACATCTTGGTGTTACCAAGACACTTGGCAAGCTGCGTGAACGGTTGTACTGGGTGAACTGCAAAGAAGATGTGAGGGCCTGGTGTAAGAAATGTGATATTTGCGCAGCCATCAATGGGCCACAAAAGCGTGGTAAAGCCCCTATGCGCCGGTACAATGTTGGCAGTCCCTTCGAACGAATAGCGATCGACGTGGCTGGTCCTTTCGCGGAGACGAACGATGGTAACAAATACATTGTGGTAGTAATGGATTACTTCAGCAAATGGGTCGAGGCCTACGCGTTGCCAAATCAAGAAGCGTCCACCGTTGCTGATGCCCTTGTTGAAGAATGGATCTGCAGGTTTGGTGTTCCCATGGAGCTTCATTCAGATCAGGGAAGAAACTTTGAGTCCAATCTGTTCCAAGGCGTCTGTGAAGTCCTGAACATCCGCAAGATCAGGACGACTGCTCTACATCCACAATCCGATGGGATGATTGAACGCATGAACAGAACTATCAACCGTTATCTGGCCAAAGTAGTCTCTGACTACCAAAGAGACTGGGACAAATTTCTTCACCTGTTCCTGTTGGGCTACCGTTCATCCGTGCAAACATGCAGCTTTGATCCCCCTGATTCGGAGATGTCCTTTGACGATTTCATGGCCCGATACAACAGCAGTTAGAAGGCTCGCTATGGAGTAACCAAAGAAGAACAACGAAACCTCTTTTCCGTGCCTCCTGATTATTCGCTCGCTTACTGTGTGGTCCGAGATTTGCGGATGTCCAGAGGAATCGCTGCGACGTTCAATGAGAAGTTTGGGCGAGTCGGAGAACTACGCCGACAGGATCCAGAGGTTGGAAGTGTCTTGAGGCTAACCGACAATGAACATGGTCAAGCAAGGCACATTTTCTACTTAGTCACCAAGGAATGGTCCCCAAGTAAGCCGACTTATCTCAATCTATGGAAGACCCTGATTGAACTGAGAGAAGCCCTGCTAAACAACAATATTACACGATTAGCCATTCCGAAACTGGCGTGTGGACTCGATGGTTTGAGTTGGCGTACAATCCGGAACATGATTGAAGTCTTGTTCAGATTTACGGGAATCGAGATCCTCGTTTGCTGCTACAACCCAAAGCTGAGATCGGGAGAGAAAACTGTAGACTGCTATTTCTACCAGACTTCTCAATGTACCAGGGGCCAGCTTTGCAAATACCTTCATTCACCGTGTACATCTCGGGACGAGCATGTACCTAAGAAGGAAGCAGTGTTGCGGACCCGTGTGGACTCGACCTAACCTAACTGTATGTTCCGCCCTCAGATGACCTTAACATCGCATTAAAGAATAGACACCGTAATGATTCATTCGTTCGAGAAGAATCGAGTCCCACTGGAATGGACTAGTACATACGAGAACATTCGAAAACCTTCTCTATGCACCTGACGATCTATGGACTATTCTAGATTTCTTTTGCTGTAGGTATAAAAGCCGGCGGCTGTGGCCTAGAGGGGGCAGTTATAAATATACGAGTGCAGTTGACGCGCTAAAATTCAAAATAAATTCTTAGTTATAAATCGTTTGTAAATAGTTCTATAAGTCTTTTATCGTTATTGTTTTTGTTAATTAGTGTTAAATAAATAGTGTTTAAATAAATTGTGACTTTCTATCCACACGGAACCGACGAAAAACGTAACAGTATTAATTTGTTATGTTAAGAGAGGTTCGAAATATTTTTGACACTACTACTTCTACTTTTTTCTTAATAGGATGATAAATATAACTACTTACTTTTATTTTACTGGGTGTCTTTAACATATCTATCAGAGAAAGGGGGTACCAATACATATAAAAAATAGATGATACTGGCTTCTGCAGCAAATAAAATAACAAATAGTATAACCTAAAATTATAAGTAACAAAATATAAATATCTATCTGAAACAAAGGAATTTGTTCCCTATCCATATTCATAAGTCAATAAAATGGAGAGTTTAGAAAAAAAGAAGGTAAATCACCAAAAGAAAAATTAACAAATATGACGAATTGTCATGATGTTGTCATCTTGGTTGTCATGATGAGAAAAAGCTATTGTTCTAATTTCTATTTAGAAATTACGTTTTATATGGCTGCTTCTTTCTCTCTTGTTATATTAGAATGAGATAGTGGGACCAATAGACGCAATGCGCAGATCAACATAAATAGAACGAAATTTTGCGTTCTGAGTTGCGATACGGGAACGTTGTCCCTCTCTTTGCCATTTAATTTGCCAGTCTCTTTTTATTTGTTTGTCTATGCCTCTAACGTACCTATGCACTCATCGTACCTTATATAAAAATTGGACACCATTTACCTCTATAGGTAAATTGTGTCCAATGCTTTGAATAAGAAGACTAAGGAAGGAGCATATCAAAAATCTTAGGTCCACCGCGATGGGCCTCAAATATGGCCGACTTAAATTCCGGTTTATCAGTGCCGTTCTAATTTTATTTAAAAAATGTAAAACTATGATGTAGGGTAGACGTGGGGTAGACCCAATATTTTTTTTATTTTACGTTGTGAATAAATGTTGGTAGTTATTAAAATTGTTATAAAAATATAAAATTCAAATAAAAATAGATAAGTTATAATAATTATTTATAACTATAAACATCCGATACGCTACTGAAGCAAGTAAGTCAAATTGACGTATCTAAATTCTTTGACATCTAATCTTTGACAAGTAGTAAATAAAAGCAAAAATGCAAGAAAAAATATATAATTAGTTAATTTAAGTGAATTTCATAAATGATCGGTTTACTACAAGTATGTATATTATATAGTCACTTACTAGCGAAAAGTTGTTCCATTACTTCACTCGATTTTTGCTGAGATCTACCGCACTCTACACAACCAACTATTTTAGAGCCTTTTTCGATAAATCGCGATAGTGTCACTGTTAATTTAAGTTCTGCCACAATTTCCAGCTAGATTTACTACCATTATACAACTATCAGTAGTAGAATAAATAATAAATAACATAAAATAAGCTCCGTAAAGACTGACAAATCCACAAAATTTCAAATCAAATTCAAATGTGTCAAATGAGTCCTCAAACAGAACTGTCAAGGATCCCCACCCTAGAGTGCTTTTTCCGCTCACCATGCATGGATAGCATTATGCTCCTTCCCTAGTCTTCTTATTCAAAGGTCTAATGGTTATTATTATTTATTTTGGTTCCAAATATACGTAGTAGTTCTATGTCCACGGAATATTGGGACACCCTGTATAGAATAAACTACGCTGTCAGAATAATCTGAAAAATAATTATTGTATGTAGAAATTAAACAGAAAAATAGTGTGAAATAAAAAGTATATTACAAAACACTAGAACGGATTTCGTTTAAAAATTAATAAATTTTAATATTATTTAATATTAAATTAATATTGCCTTAATATTTGCAAAAATACAGTCCGCAGGCGACCGCGACCGTTTTAGTAGAAAGTGGAAAGCGGTGCGGGGGTGATCAAAATTTAAAAGATGGAATATGTTAACATGCTGAACATACTTGAGTACACAACACATACAGGAGAGACACGTGAGAACACATACTTAATTAGGTTACGATTTTCCAGATTAACATATACTCTTTGTACTTTTTTAAGTTTACACTAAGACGGCATAAAAGTGGGAAAACCTATTTTTTGACAGTCCCAGCCATAAAGGGAATGAAGAAGAAATTCGAATTTTATGCGGACGAAGTCGAGGGAAAATTGTGGTGTCATATTTTGGCGCGAAGTGTCGCTTGACTCGTTTGGGAAGTTAGGTATGGAAAAGCGTTAATTATGTCACACGGCCCTTTTATATCGCTTATCGTATATTTTGAGTGAAAATAGAGAACAACGGCAAACGGTCGAGTCGGCCTACAAACACGTAAACGTTTACGTACGCATGAGCATTTCTTATATTTTTTATTTTTTATACACGTAAAAGATTCTTTACGTCTGCGTATACGTGCCAGCAGCGGCCGACTCGACCGTATGCCGTTGTTCTATATTAATACGTATTATTTGAATACCCGCTGGCCACCATAAGTGTAAAATATATCAAATTCTTTTACAAAGGCAACCTAAGGAGTTCTGTAGAAGACAAAAAAACCTATAAAAAAATCCGTACCTTTAGTTCCTGAGAGTATTTATCTAAATCGATTTTCATTGATTTTAACTGAGGTTGCATCTCGCTGATTTGAGATTCCAAATAGTTCTGTCTCTGTCGCACGTCCCTCACGTTGTTCTCCATAGCTTGCAGTTCCTGTTCTAGTGCCTGTAAATCTGCTGGATTGACATTTGCAATTGCTACAGACTGTCCCATTCTGCCGCGCATTTGTCTTCTACCGCCACCACTCATTGTACCTAATGTAAAAAATTTTAGTTTGGTGGCACAGAAAATGTTTAAAACAATTTTTTAGCCACTGTGCCGCTCTTCAGCTATATTTGTGTATCGGTGATAATTTAAGTACCTACTTTTTCAAATACTATACCTGTGGTTTCTATTAGATCTCCATTAAGTGTTACAACTCTGTACCTTCGGGCACCATAAGCTATCCTTGAAGCTTGGTTAAGGTCATTTGCCACCAAAGTGTCTCTTAAGGCATAGTAAAAGGCTGTTTTGACCCTTTCGTCATTTACTTTTACCAAATCGTACAGTCGGTGAACGTTTTCAGGTCTAAAAAATTACACGTCCATTTAAAATACAGCGTGGCACAATAAAAGAGACTTACGTTTGTATTCTTGAATTGGTTAGGTTCCTCAGATGCTCTTGCTTTTCTAGAGCAATAAAAACGGCCCTTCCTATATCATGTCTTTTCAAAAACTCTATACACCACTGGGCAGTGTCCACTGTGTCTACAACAATGTTATCTAATGGTCCACAGGCTGTAGATATGGCTACATCGTATTTTTGGTCAATCGCTCCCAAGTCACCCTAGAGTTGATTTTTTAGCACATTTATATTTTTAGGTGAGGAAAATCTTACTAATCTTCCAAACAATCCTGGACATTTGCCTTCTCTTTTAGCTCTCATTAGTTCGTCCAAGACCCTTCCACTAGATCTAGAGGCTTGCATGGCACATTTGCCGTCTTCTAATGTGCCCCTTTTTGATCTATAACACAAAAATGCGTTAAACTGTACAGAATTTACAGCTTTATAAAAACAGAAAATATTGACTCCTCGGAAGTTAGTGCTCCAAATTTTTTGACCTTGAAGTCACATATTTAGACTATTAGACTCCATTCACAGTAAGCAACTTTCAGGGTGCATCCACGCTATCCTAAAAACGGCGGATCGGCGTAACGGCGTAACGACCTTGAATAGATTTCCAGTAATTCTATTGGCTGAAAAATTCATCTGTCAGAAATTTTATCTGTCAAATTCATCTGTCAAAAATTTCAGCCAATAGAATTACTGGAAATCAATTCAAGGTTGTTACGCCGTTACCCCGATAAGCCGTTTCTAGGATAATGTGGATGCACCCTCAGTCGACATGACTTCGATACGACAGTCGAGCATTCCGTTCACACTAGAAGCGACTTCGTGCCGACGTCTACCGGCTCGACACGCCATTTGACCAAGTTGACTCAGTCATCTGACCACGTTCGACTTTATTCTAATCTTCATCACCATTCATATATGTATATATATGAGTCCAGGCTATGTCGCGCTGGTTTTACACAGTGCGGCGGATGGTAATTCTAGCGGGACAAAACCTCAGTGATGTTTGAGACTTAAATAAAATCTAAGAACGTAGCAAATGGTCTATTATATAGTAACCATTGACTTATTAACAACTTAATTTATTAATAAATAAATAAATACAAGATTGTTGTCCCGCTAGAGTTACCATCCAACGCACTGTGCGCCGCGAGCTGTACCGCCTGTGTAGGCTCTTCAATGGGACTTCAATGGTACAAAACACACGAATGGCGGCGGCTGCCGAGCGTTTACAAGCGGCTGGGAACAAAGTTCCGCTGCCGCCGCCGCTTATAAGCCGCCTCGTGTGCCCTCACCCTTAAGGTGTACGCGCACTGAATCGGTACCAGTCCGGCGAAGGCGGTGACTCGACTATCGTAGATAGGTAGAGGTAGGAATCTGGCCTCTACAGGCCGAAATGTTTTAGTGGACGCCGGCGCCGTCTATATGTACGATGGTCGCAGTCGCTTTTGCTGGTCGGTCCGATCCGATGCAGTGCGCGCGGAGCCTTAGGCTGAGAACAAAGATTGAAGAGCCTACGCAGGCGGCACAACACGCGGTGCACTGTGCGTTGGATGGTCATTCTAGCGGGATAACAATCTTGTATTTTTTTTATTTATTAATAAATTAAGTTGTTAATAAATATGTATATTAATAAATTCTATGGTTACTATATATTAGATCATTTGCTACGTTCTTAGATTTTATTTAAATCTCAAACATCGCTACTGATGTTTTGTCCCGATAGACTTACCATCGGCCTGTGTTCCGCGCTGCGTCGGCGAAAAGCCGCCTCGTGTGTCCTGGGACTTCAATGGTACAAAGCAGGGTTGGAAAAAATCATGATTTTTAAAAAAAAATCAAAAAAATCAGATTTATTTGATTTAAATCAGAATTTTTTGATTTTAATTCAAAACAATATTTAAATTGGATTTTCAAATGACTAGGACTTATTTCCAATTAAAGTCCTATCCCAAATGGCTAAATCTTTATAACTCTGCCCGTTATCGATAACATTAATAATTCTAGGGTGTGTGTTTGTCATTTTTCCACATCGGTCACCAATATATTTCGCAAAAAAGTCGCCCGCTTCAGATCAAAAGGATTTTTTTTCAAACGTCTCAAAAGTATTAATTTTTATCATTTTAACGCCTAGGTATAAAAGTAAAGCACTGTTACGCCTAAGCACAAAAGTACAAAAATATATTATTAAACAAAAAAAAAATATAATTTTTATTTGTGCTTCCTTGTAACGTCGGAATAGCTTTACGATGGTCCTTCAAAGGTACAGTATCATCAAAAAATGTATAATTTTTACTCCTAATAAAACAATAAACTATTGTTCGGAAATACTCTTAAGTTGAGAATGAAATTAGTATTATCTAATGTCAAAGTGTAAAATACTTACTGCAGATCAATATGTCGGTAAGAATTTGAAAAAATACCATTTCAAAAAAAATATATAAAAAACATATTTCCTGACAACGATTATTATAGATTCTCGGGAATGAAGATATAGTCTCTATAACAGAAGAACCTAGTTCTGCACCATGGTACAAAGAATACAAGGTATGATATTGCGCAGGTTGGGCGCTACGTCACAGGTGATAACAGGCGCTATTGGTCAGCACGCTCCGCGCGCCAGTTCAAATCGTCAAGATATTGTTATAAACCTGTTTTTTTGTTTATATACCGTCATTGAATTATCGCTAAGCAAGTTACAGTGGAGCAGTGCGTAAGGAGTCGGGCTAGGAAGCGAGAGACCCGAGTTCGAATCTCGGCCGGGACATAACTTTTTATTTATTTTTTTGAATACTGTTGTATTCTATAGTTTATTTTTGTAGTATGAAAAAAAGAACTATTTATTCTGTTATTTTTTAATCTCCGTTATTAATATAAATTGATTGTTAGTACAATACCTCATTTAATATAAAATAATATTCTACTTTTTGAAATGTATCGGGCTCTAATTGTACCTAAAAGTAATATATTTTTAGTGATATACCATATTGTAAACTATTTATTTTTTATATTTCAGTCACTGAAAAAGTTAATTTGCATTGAATAATTGCCTACCATTAAAGGAAATTTGAGCTATATAATCCTTGATGGGCATATTCTGGGTATGAAAATACTTCCTTTGAATTTTGGGTGTCGTTCAACCGATTTATTCTCAAAACCAGAAACATCTACATATAAAAAGAAGCAGAGGTCACTAATTATAATAAACTTCACCCTTGGTATTACTTCCACTAATTATAATAAATTTCACCCTTAGAATTACTTCTATCACAATTACAATACGTTCATCTGCATTGGCATTTTCTACTTTTCGATGGGAAACAATAAACTTCCCAACATTTTTTAAATGATGTAACAATTCCTCTTGTGGTTACTTTTCCATAGATATCCTCAACTCTGTCCTCATGTGAATTCAGAGGCAATGAAAATGAAAATTATTTACCATAAACATCGCAAACTAAAAACCTAATAAACAATTTTATACCGAATATAGAAATAAATTCAGTATTCTTACCTATCGTCCAAATCCATGTTAATAGATAATTATTATTTTTAAATATATTTTTGGAACTGCTGGTTTTAGTAATTATTAAATTAAACGAACTAAAAGTCTTAAAAATAAACAATTCTTAACCATAACCAGAGCCATAACCCCAAAAAATGCAGATCTCCTGTCAACTTTCTTTATTTTTTATTTATTCATTATTTTCCTGGTGACGTCACAGGTGGTATGCGCGAACTGAACGAAATTGGAGCCGCTATCGATCATACCTTGTATTCTTTGTACCATGGTTCTGCACCAGTCTGCGAATGATATGTATTCGAACAGCGAATTTTTGTCACTTATACATAAATTTTAAAATAAATCCCTGCGTTTAGCAGTCTAATGGATTCACACGAAATTACTTCAAAAATCGGTCCAACATTTAAATTGATGAATATATATTTTTATATAGTTTTATAACATTTACAATTACTTTTCGATTTATTATCTGTTATATCTTTTATAGAAATATTTTTTATAGTTTTCTAGGACACATTTTTATAACTTTTAAAGCTTTTTTGATTTATAATAAAGTTTTAATAAAATTATTTCTTTTTTATTTAAATCAATGATTAAAATTAAAAAAATCATTTGATTTAAATCATTTGATTTATATTATTTGATTATTATATTTTATTATATTAAATCATTTGATTTAAATCCTGCCAACCCTGGTACAAAGCACACGGTATCTCGTCGACGCGCCGCCTATAAGCCACCGCGTGTGTTTCGCTCTTATTGTAACGTTTTATTTTTTACTAAACTTAGTAAATACAAATTCAAAAAATTATAATTTAAAATAAAATTATAAACCTTTTTTACATTTAAGATAGACGTAAAGTATAAAAAAATAAAAAGACAAAGAAATGTAAAAAATAAACACAATGCTCTTCCATTCCATCCTATACTTTCGATTAGGCTAGGCGCAGATTGAGTCGCGTGTATCGCGTGTGACATAACCTGACATGACATGGCGCGACCGGCACTCGCGCTGCTTGGTGGTCCGCAAATTGGGACGCAGTTTTTCAATGACTCACCTCTGCGATCGTATAAAAACGGCTACATAAAAATGACTGATTCGCCATGGAAACAATTATTGTTACTAAACTTTAGTTCTGAATCAGAATCAGATGATGCCGGATGCCGAAGTGTAAATTTTACTGTATTCAATAATCAAAATGAATACACGCGAACGCGAAGCACGCGTCAGGACACGCGGGTTGCGTCGCGCTGCCAATTTGCGGCGTCTCATTTATTTCTGTTGTTTACAAAAACTTGCGTCGTGCCAGGTCATGTCACACGCGATAGACGCGACTCAATTTGCGCTTAGCCTTAAATTGGCATAAATTTTGATTTCTACACAAAATAAAAAAATAATCAATAAAAAGAGCAATAAAAATATATGTTCACAATTGCTGTCCTCCGAGTATCGCGTTCTTGAACAGGTCAGAGCTGCACAACTGCGTGAATGGAGGACAGTAAATGGTCGTTAAAGTGGTTAAATTAATGTATTACGGCACTTCTACTAATTCGAAAAAAGCAGTTTTAAGTTTTTAAAAAAAAATTTACATTACAAGTAACATAAGTAATTACAGAATATACAATCTACTTAGGAACCAACTTTTCCTATGATTTGTCAAGCAATAAAAACTGGTATACTGTAAATAAAAATAAAATAGAAAACAAATTTCTTGCAGTATAGGTATATAATAAAATTATATAAGGATTCTTGACACTTAACTGCTGATATACAAATTTCTATATCAGCAGTTAAGTGGCAAGAATCCTTATATAATTTTATTAATAAAAATAAAGTGGTAGAGGTATAAACATGGCCAGACTTACCTAATAACACAACTTAATTAAAACTTTTAAAAAATGCAACATATTTTTAATAAAAAATGTACCTGATTTTATTGACAAGAGTAGCTTCATTTTGCCTAGCCTCTAATAACTCCACATTAGCATCATTCAATGATTTCTCTGTTACAGGTATCTTCTTTTTCAATTCTTGCACTTGCTTTATCCTTTCATCTATAGTTGTTTGTGAAGTTTCATAGAGTTTCTTCAAGTTTTCCAGCTTTGTTCTTTCAGTTTCCTCCTTTCCTATACACACTTTAAGTTCAGTTTCAGCCAGAGCAAACTAAAAATATGAACATATTTACATATTCTGTTCATGTGTATGGACTAATTTTTTACATTCGACTTTGTTTTGTCAACATTTTCTTTCAACTTGGATAGTTCTTCTTGTAGTTTCTCTTTTTTTATTTGCAAATGTTCTGTATCCTTTTGTATTTTTTTCATAAGAACACTCTTTTCATTCTCATGCTGTTCTTTCTGTTTTATCATACTCTGCATTTTAGCTTCATACTCAATAATATTCTATAAAAATTAAACAAATAATAATAAAAAAATAATTATAATATTATATTATATTATACCTCTTCACTTTCTTTGGGAACATTTTCTAGCTTGGTCAGTTTTTTCTTTTCTAAAACTATTGTTTCCTTGTTTTTTTTTCTTCTGTTATTTGTACTGGTCATGTCAGCTTGTAGCTGCATGTCTTTCTTATCAGCATTATTATATGCTTCACTTATGCTTTCCTTTTTCTTTTTTAAATGTTCATATATTTTAGCCTCTCTGTCTTGAGTCTGCATATATTTCTCCTTTGTTTCTGCAAACTCTTTCAGTTTATCATCAACTATTTTCTGGGCTGTTAAAGCTTCTTCACAATTTTCTTTTTCAGTTACAGTTTTGGCTTTAATGTCTTTTCTAAAATTAGAAACCATAATTATTTAAATATTTCATAGACTGGTTGATACCTTACATTGCCTTTTGGAAAAGAAAATTTTTGTTTTGTACAATTTTGTTTTCTGTCTTAAGAAATCCTACAGCCTCCTCCATGGGCTCTTTCAGTTGTTCAAGCTCATTTTCGACCAATCTCAACCTATTTAGTTTCTCTGTCCTTTTCTCAGATAACATATCAACTCTTTCATTTATTTGTTCCAAAGGTTTCTAGGGTTTTAAACTTGAAACATATGAAATTCATATTTAATATCATACCTTATATCTAGTTGTTCCAATAATATCTTCTAAATACTCCAACATTCCAGATTCACCTTCTTTTTCTCCTTTACATTTCATCATAGCTATTTGTTCTACTTCTCCCTAATAAAAACAAAAAATAAAAATTCTTACTGCATTTTTTTAAACAACATACCTGAAGAATCAAAAATCTATTGTAATCCAGATCAATACCATGCTTTTTTAATACTTTGGCTACATCTTTGAATTGTACTCTTTTACCATCCATTTCATAATAGGAGGAGTTATCTTTATTTGCAGTTCTTGAAATAGTAAACTCACTACCTGGGACAACTTCATAACTGTCCCTATCCTAGATATTAATTTAAAATGAATCAATCTAATTTTTTTATAACTATTTATACCTTATCAACTATAAGAGCAAAGTTGATTGACACTGTACAAGACTGAATATTCTTAAAATTTTCTGAATTATGTAGTAACACCGAGACTTTCTTGCAACGGATTTTTGTTGCTCTATATCCAAATACAAATAACAAGGAATCAATAACATTACTTTTACCACTGCCATTTGGCCCAACAATTGCATTGAAGCACTAAAAAGAATTACAATGATACAATATATACAAATAACTGTATTACGTTAAGTGTTACTTTATGGAATGGTCCCAAAACAATATTTTCAGCATAACTCTTAAAGAAATTATTATATATCTTAGTTATCATCAATCGAGGGCCTGTAGGATCAAATGAAAGTGTTGGTTTTGTGGCAGGAGGAATGTAAATGCCGTCAATTCGTGTTCCTTCATCATCTGAACCATATAGTTCCTCATCATCAGAAAATACTTGCCCTTCTTCAATTGGTATACTTTGCCTCTTTGAGCTCATATTTCAGTTTAACATTAAGGCTTCCGAAAAGCTAATAAAAAATAAGAAATATGTATTTAAATTAATTTTCAAGATATAGGTTAAAGTTAAAAGTCATTATATTGCAAAACAAAATTGACTAACCGTTTCAAGATAAATATTCCGGTAGAATCTATAGCACAAGCCGCACATGTATATAAGATTTTATGTAAAAAATATACATATATAAGTTCATGAATTACAAAAAACAAATAACAGGGAAAACGTTACACTTTAGATTCAAATTTAAGCTTGTTATTCTTCTTTTTAACCTGAATAGCCATATCACGGCCATATGTCATAGGAAAATAAATATGATATTATCTTCTTCTTCTTCTTGTTTCACGATGACCACGCGCCTTTCGAAAATATTATCTTTTAAAGAAGAATATGATATCTTAAGGGAAAAATATGGAGGGCTATGATGGAGGGCTTGACTCCATAGGGAAAAACTTGCGTCTAAAAAAAAAGCCCCGTTCTCAGAACTACGTCGTGTCGACAGCGACACTGATTGACATTTCAAACAACCAATAGGAGCTGTACTAAATTTAAAATTGACAGCTGTTTGAATTTTGTACAAATCTCATTGGTTCTTTTGTCGTGTCGCTGGCGACAGTCGCAGTTCTGAGAACACGGGATGCAACTTTGTTCATGTTTCAAAGCGATAGCAAAGTAATTTGTAGCTTGATGCACTATGTTCAGTAGCAACATCGATTCGTAGCGATATTCTGATTTCTCGCTTTGTGGCGAGGCGACAGTCTAGACACGTGTGCAAGAGTGTGATAGTGATACCATATTTCGCAGCATTTGAGCGACAATAGTTTTGCAATGAACATAGTATCGATCTGGGGTAATGGTGTGGATCCGGTGGCTGACCTTGAAACGAGTTTTTGCTGCATATAGTCACAGACACTACGCATGCGCACATCTTCAATGTTGCCATATTGTGAGTTATTTTGGAATTATTTTCAGTAGAAAACAAATATGTACTTCTCAGTGTTTTTTTGTCCAATATATACCGTATGATCGAAAAAACGGCGTCAGTGTCAGGAAATGACGATTGAGGACATTTCCATAAAGTGACAGCGAATCTTCATTTCATAGTCACTGCTGACGCTATTTTTTTTCAATCATAGTACGCGGTATATTATTTTTAATATTTCGCACAACACGTGAACGCTTATTATGTATTTTCAGTCAATAAAATTATATAGAAATAAAACTCTAGATTCCTATCTAGATATTATTATACTACGTTTAAAAAGTGCTTTATTAAAAATTCGGGAGATTAAAAGGGATGTGTCAAATTTTTCTTTTTTTAATTGCAATGGTGTAGCTCCATGTCATGTTCATAATAGACATTTTAACATTCCATCAAACTACGGAGGCCTTAAAAGACCTTTTAGCAGCCTCCGTAATTAAAATTGTAGAATCAGCTTCAGCAACATTAACAGATACCTTGTTTAATTCTGCTTATACATATGTATTGCATTAATTTTCTGCTACATTAAGATTTCTGTATTCTTACACCTAATTTATGTGATTTTCTTAGCACATATGATTTATAAACCATATTTTTCTAATGGAAGGATGAATAGGATATGCAAAATTAAGATATTTTAACGTTTATTTTCAGACCAAGCATAATATAGTATTAAGATGAAGACATAACAAATATTAACAAGAAAGATCTTGTACTAAATCACAAACTAAGTCTTAATTTAGTCTTGTATTTCTATTATTATTATTATTCTTATAAAACTAATAAGATCAAAACTCAACCTTCACCATATTGTCAAGATTTGGCATTATAGGAAACAAGAAATTACAGTAAATTAAGAAAGAATAACAAAGTACACGATATTAAATACTGTAATGTATTTTACGATACAAACCATCTCTCTTTCTTCTAAAGAAAAAAGATAAAACATAAAGCTTATTTTAGTCTTATCAACACACTCTTCGATAAAATCCACTAACTTGATATCTATGCTTGACATTTTTAAGAAATTATGATACAAACATTAATTATAATGAATGTATATTATATTAGTAACATTATATAATAGGTAAAGAATGTTACCTCTATATCTCCCATTGACGTGTGTTCTATATTAAGACCCGTCATGGTAGTACTTCAAAACATCAATACATGCATATAATCGAAAATATTGTTGCCTGTAAATAACTAGAAATTAAATAACTTGAAAGAAATAAATAAATTAAATAAGTTTAACCAAATTAAGAAAAAAATCATAAATGAAGTAAATCAATTGGAGCCATTTTTTAATAAAATACATATAAATAAATGTTATTATTATTACAATTTTGCCTATTATAATACTTTCATTTCACAATCTTCATTATCCTTCTTACCTTATTTTTGGATATCAAGATAAATCTGAAATTATAGAATTTGTATTATTATTGATTAACACGCAAAAAAAAATTTTCAACTGCAAATAATTCGAAAATAAACTGCAATTTGGCAACATCGACGATGTGCGCTTGCGTAGTATCGATGATCAAAAGCAGCAAATATGGGCTTCAAGGTCAGCCACCGGATCAGGGTTCGGAAAACTACATGTTACTTTTAAAAACTACATAAACTACATTACATGTAGTTAATGTAGTTTATGTAGAGGGTGTAGTTTATGTAACTTATGTATGTAACTTTCAAATATCAAAGGTTTGAGGTGAGGTTTTAATAAGTTGATGCTTTAAAAACACATAATGAATTTAAAACAGAAGAAATATGGCTTTAGATATAATATTTACATCATATTATCTGTATTACACCTCATACAAAGGAAAATTATTCATAATATCAATACATAGTTTATTAACGTAGTTTTCATGTAGATAATGAACGGGAAAAGACGTAGTTTTTGAAGAAAAACTACATGTAGTTAATCAGGTAAATTACGTCTTAATTAACTACTTCCGAACCCTGCACCGGATCCACACCTTTACACCTCGATCTGGTTTTGACATCGCTTCTAAACGATCGCTTGCTAACTTGAACAAAGTTGCACCCCAAAGGAAGGAGCATAAAGCCCCGTTCTCAGAACTGCGACTGTCGCCAGCGACACGTCAAGAGAACCAATCAGATTTGTACAAAATTCAAACAGCTGTCAATTTTAAATTTAGTACAGCTCCCATTGGTTATTTGAAATGTCAATCTGTGTCGCCCGCGACACGACGCAGTTCTGAGAACGGGGCTTAATGCTATCCATAGATGCTATCCATGGTACAAAGAAAACAAGAAACAAGCAGGGTTCGGAAGTAGTTAATTAAGACGTAATTTACCTGATTAACTACGTGTAGTTTTTCTTCAAAACTACGTCTTTTCCAGTTCATTAACTACATGAAAACTACGTTAATAAACTATGTATTGATATTATGAATAATTTTCCTTTGTATGAGGTGCAATAGAGATAATATGATGAAAATAATATATTGAAGCCATATTTCTTCCGTTTTTTAATAAATACATTATGTGTTTTTAAAATGTCAACCTATTATAACCTCACCTCAAACCTTTGATAGCTGAAAGGTACATACATAGGTTACATAAATTACACCCTCTACATAAACTACATTAACTACATGTAATGTAGTTTATGTAGTTTTAAAAAAAAAGTAACATGTATTTCGAACCCTGGAAGCAAGGTAGCGAATCGATAGCGGGACATGCTCAACTGAGCATAGGGTGCTAGGAAAACCAACTCGGCAGCAGTAGCTAGGAGTTCTTTAACTCTGGTGAAGGCACTTGATGCTGCTGGAGTCAAGTTTAGGTCCTTTTGCTTTTTCTTTTGGTGGGAAAGTAGCTCGGTGAGTGGCATAAGCTCTTTTGCAGCATTTGGTAACCAGCGTCGATAGAAATTAACCATCCCTAGAAAGCGACGTAACTGTTTGTATGTTGTTGGTTGCGGAAAACTGCGAATAGCACTGACTTTAGCTGGCAAAGGCCTGACTCCAGTTGGGGAGACTGTGACGCCTAAGAAATTTGCCTCTCGTATCCGGAATTTGGACTTTTCTTTGTTGATTTGGAGTCCATTTGCTTCTAGGATCTGAAGAACTACTGCTAAGTGCTGGTCGTGTTCTGCTACCGTCTCCGAGACTACCAGTATGTCGTCGATGTACACATATACAAATGGACACCCTCGGAAGAGATGGTCGAGGTACCGCTGAAGTGTCTGGACGGCGTTACGTAAGCCAAAGGGCATACGTAGAAGTTCGTACAAACCAAAAGGTGTAATGACAGCCGTTTTTTGTACATCTTCTGGGCGGACTGGGATCTGGTGGAATGCATGTACAAGATCAATGGTAGAGAAAATCTTCTTACCATGTAGCTGATTTGCAAAGTCCTGAATATGGGGCACTGGATAGCGATCAGGCTTGGCAATTGCATTTAACCGACGGAAATCCCCACAAGCACGCCACTGGCCGTTGGCTTTTTGGACCATGTGAAGCGGGCTAGCCCATGGCGATTTCGATGGCTGAACGATGCCGATTTGTATAAGTTAGTTGAATTCGGCCCGTGCAGCTTGTAGACGGTCTGGTGGAAGCCTGCGCGGCTTGGAGAACACTGGTGGACCTTGGGTCTCAATATAGTGCTGGACTCTTCCAGGGTCGTCTGGTGCATCCGGTGGTCGGTCATAAGGGTGGGCAGTGGATATCCCCACCTCCAATGCTCTTACTCGTCGAGACACACACATAATGCTGCTTGGTAAAGTTGGACTAACGAGGCGCTTGTTTCGCATATCTACGGTGAACCCATGGTGTACGAGGAAGTCAGCACCTAGGATGGCAGTGGTGACATCTGCAACAACAAAGGTCCAAGTGACTGGCTGGCCAAAACCAAGTATGATACGCCTATACTCTGCTACTGGTTCCTGTATTAGAACGTTTGGGCAGTTGACACTTGACCTTGGTTTTGGCCAGCCAGTCACTTGGACCTTTGTTGTTGCAGATGTCACCACTGCCATCCTAGGTGCTGACTTCCTCGTACACCATGGGTTCACCGTAGATATGCGAAACAAGCGCCTCGTTAGTCCAACTTTACCAAGCAGCATTACGTGTGTGTCTCGACGAGTAAGAGCATTGGAGGTGGGGATATCAACTGCCCACCCTTATGACCGACCAACGGATGCACCAGACGACCCTGGAAGAGTCCAGCACTATATTGAGACCCAAGGTCCACCAGTGTTCTCCAAGCCGCGCAGGCTTCCACCAGACCGTCTACAAGCTGCACGGGCCGAATTCAACCAACTTATACAAATGGGCATCGTTCAGCCAGCGACGGATAGCAGAACAAGAGCAGCACTTAGCAGTAGTTCTCCAGATCCTAGAAGCAAATGGACTCCAAATCAACAAAGAAAAGTCCAAATTCCGGATACGAGAGGCAAATTTCTTAGGCGTCACAGTCTCTCCAACTGGAGTCAGGCCTTTGCCAGCTAGAGTCAGTGCTAT